GAGCCTATCTAAATCCCAGTAACGAGTAACGCGTTCCTGATTTTGGCATAATAACTAGTTACCGTGCTCGTTACCACAATAATAACGTAGTTACTGTAACGCGTTACTTAATAACGCGTTAGTCCCAACACTGATTATGGGAAATAAATATTTAAATCAAAACAAGCTGCTGATTATTTCTCATTTTACTTGTGAGCAACGGCACATTTAAATCTTACAAATATAGTTATTTGGCTTATATCGTGATAGAACGGACTGGTTCTTATATAACGCTTTTCTACTCTGAGCACTCAAAATGCTTTACAAAACTTGCCTCATTCACACAAGCATACTGTACTGTTTCTATCTAAGCTTCCTATCTAACATTCACACGCATTCACTGACGGATGCATCTTGGCCAAGGATATTTGGCACGCAGACTGGAGAGACGAGGATTGAACTACCAACCTTCTGATTAGCAGGTGCTCTACCACCTGAGCTACACTTCAAAAGACCATCAAATCATTTTTTTATTAAATTATTAACAGTTTGAAAATTTGGTTGATCTCAGAATTGCACAAATAATGTATAAAGCAGCAAACAAATCTTTACTCCACGACATTCAGAACTTAGGAGTAAAAACTATAATTTATTAATTTTTCTTTAATTCAGTCTTACTGAATAAAAAGCAGAAAACTTGGAATTTAAATAATATAGAGGCAAAACTATAAAAGTTTTATATATTCCCCCCAAAAATGTAATTATAAATGAAGTTATCTGAAAATGTACATGTTTGACGTATGTTCAGGCACAACAGTGGAATTTCAGAGACAGTCACTTTTTTGCTTCAGCTAACAAAGGCTTAACCATTACTTGATGAAGAGGTCTAGCAAGTTTTTTTGGTTTCCTTGTTGGGAGAAATTATGTTGATGTTAAAAAAAAAAAAAGAAAAGAAACAAAAGCTAATGTTTTAGATATTAAAATGTACCTTTGGACCAGCTGAAGAGATAGGCTTCTTTTAGTCATATCAGAGCTGCTTTGCAGATGTACTGGTGCACACTGTGAAGAACTGAGAATTTGTTTCCCTGTGGCACACAAACACAGTCATCAAAAAGAGATTAGAGGCAATGAAGAGTATTGTGAACACTAACGGGCAGAGTCAATTGATTATGGATACACCCCATTTATTGCTGAAAACCACAACAGCCAAACAATAGTAACAACCAGAGAGTTAAATACAAAAAAATTATGATATGCATATACACTACCCAAAGGTAAACTTACTAATTACACAATTTTTTAGCCAACCTGGGAAAACTTTGCAAATGAATGAAAACGTAACTATCTGTCATTACCTTAAAAGTTTGGCTCGTTAGTTTAACTCGTTTGTGATAAACAATAGACATCACCGTGGCTTTATTTGCTAACATGACCAATAATACAAAGCACGCACAAGTATACAGATATAACTTACAAAAGCTCGGCGGTGAAGATAGCTCGTTTCCACCACCCCAGAAAGTGTAACGACAGTAGATCCTTTTAGAATAACCCATGGTCTACGGCTGTACGTTCTTAGAAGGTTAGCTGAAGCTAGTTAGCCAGAAAGCTAACAAACTCATTCGCTCGTTTTTAATTTTATTTGGCTTCATTTGACTTTTTACACTATTATAATTGGGTAGAAATAAACCCCCAAACACAGCGCGTGTGGATATTAAAAGGAATTCTACGCCTTTATTGACAAAACAGCAGCTCTATAAAACAAAGACTTACTTGTCAGACGCTGAACCGACGTGTAACTGAGCCAATCAGCTTTCAGGTATACGGAACGATTGAAGTTGTCAAAGCTGCATTATTCCGTTACTTTCAGCACAAATACAATACCAAACAAAGAAGCTAGTGTCAAACTTTTATCCATATCTTTGTAGGTAATGACAAGAATAATCTAACTGTTCAACACTGAGACTTAATCAAAGAGTGTCTGCGAAGAGCTTCAGCAGCGTGACTCCATCAGCAAAAACAATAACACTTCCGTCTGCAGACTTTCACAATATAAGTATAATTTCCACAGCACGCCAAGAACTACCATTTGCAAAGCAGACGTATGAAACGGAATTTTAGGATGCAATTAATTTAAAATAAATCAGAAAGGCAAGGAAACGTGCATATATGATGATGCTATTCTGATTAATCAATTTGCAGATTAATGATCATAAAACTAACCTCACGGCCCATTGTTAGTCAGTGGAGCTAGTTTCCATCATTATTCTGCAGTCAGCTGAGATTAAAGGAGTGGTTTGGATGAAGAAACCTTTCTCCTACAGAAAACGTCCAGTTTGACAGAATGAACTTTCTGAAACTAGACACATTATATAAATCCATGGTCATTGTAGTAAATAAAGTGCTAGTATTATATTCACTATTATATATTCCCCACAATGTAAAAACAACAACAACAATATAAAGTTGTGTTTTCATTTATTAGACTTTTTTGTTTTATTTTGGTAATGCTTCACGTATTTTGTAGGGGTACTTCCGTGTATATCACGTGGGAGATCCACGCGGAAGTAGCCGCGCAATGGAGGGCAATATGAGTTGTAAAGACGATGACCTGTCCGTAATGACAGGGCTTTTTAACTGTTTGACAGAAGCGTACAGATGCTTTCTTGCGGGATCGTATCCCCCCCAAAATGCTGCCGATGTAGCGGGCGTAATATATTCCGGCTTTTGTGGACCTGTCCACGGGAAAGGCAGAGAAGGTTCCCCCTCAGAGTACTGCGGTGAAAACAGTGCGGAGCTGACTTGCATGTGCATGACTTTCCTCGGGAGGGTTTCTTCCAATCTGACGTCTCAGGGGCTGCATCCAGACGTTAGGTTTTATTTTGCGGAGGTCCTAAAAGTATTGCTTGAAGACATGGATCTCATCACGCACCTTGTAAGTGCTACCACTGCTCAGGGAGTAAAGACGTAAAGTTATCTTAATAATTGATTTAATTACCTTTTCCATAGGTAAAGCGGTTCCAAGCCGAGGACCACATTATCTCACATCTGGCTGCAAAGACGGCATCAAACTGTGTTTTTTACCTTATCTGCAAATCTGTAAGTAGTCATTCTTTGGGGATTCGTCTTCAGCAACGACTTTTTGTTTCCATCTCTGAGATGACCGAAGCGCTTTAGCCTACCTACTGTAAATCACATACTATTAAAAAATATGCAACACTGTTCATTGTGTGTAATGTTAAGAATGGTGAAAAAAGCAACGTTTAAAATAACGTAAAAGAAGACGCCAGAAGGTTCTAGGGTAAAACTTCAGCAACTGGTAGGTTGTACGACTAAGACCAGACTGGCCAGCCTGTGCACCACCTGGACTTACAAGAAAGCCTATGACTCAAAACCTCACACATGGAACCTGGAATTCATAGAGCTACACAAGATGAGCAGAACCCTAATAGTAAAAAAAGAGAGGAAAGGTAGTTACTGCAATCCTCTAAGGTCTATCAGAAGGCAACACACTGAAAATAGCCAATTGGGAACCATGAAAAGGCTACTAGGAAAGCTACAACAACCCAGCGAGTAAGGCAGGTCCTGAGAAGTAGGTGAATGGGAAGAACAAGATCAAGGCAATCGCCACCTACACCCAAAGGAGGAGATCAAATCCACTGACATCAAGACAATGAAGCTTCTTCATCTAGCCCTCTGAGACTACGCTGAGCGGAGGGAAGGAGACCAAGTGTCAGAAGCACTATCCAGGGTGAAACAACAAAGAGCCACATCATTTATTTTGGCCATCAGGAAGATGTATAGTACCATATCACCCCAATGGAGCACTTTGCTCTCAGATTGCAGCTTTACTTGTGGTTACTGGGATATTTAAAAGTAGTATGGGAGGCAGAACCTTCAGGTATCAGGCACCTTGTCTGTGGACCCAGCTTCCAGCTTGGATTTGGGAGACAGAGACCCTTTCTACTTTTAAGATTAGGCTGAGGACTTTCCTTTTTCTGAAAGCTTGCAGCTATGGCTGAATCGTGTGACCTTGAATCCACACTTAGTAGGACTTAGCAGTAGACTTAGGCTGCTGGGGTCCTCTCAAGATGCACTGAGCGTTTCTCCTTCTCTTACCCTTTTTTACTCACCATCAACGGCTCTTTCACAGCATGTCTTTTATCTGGTCCCCCGCCCGACTGGTCATGGCAGATGGCTGCCGCGACCTGGTTCTGACGGGTTGGACAACAGTGGAAAGGAACTCTCTTTTAAAATGAAGGTTGAAAGGGAGTTTTTCCTCCCCACTGTTGCCAAGTCCTTACTCATAGGAGGTTATCTGTTAGGGTTTCTCTGTAAAATTTTAGTGTCTTTACCTTTCAGTATTGAGCACCTCGAAGCGACTGTTGTTGTGATTTGACAGTTTAAAATTGAATTTGAGTGCTTGTATGCTTAAATTTCTTAGGGACTTATCAGTCCTGCCTGGCAGAGGAAATGTGAACAAGCATTTCAGAACCCGTGGCCTGGTGCTGAATTAGATGCCTGTTTGTGGTCACTGACTGAAGTCTCCAAAAAACTTCTTAAAGGAGCTCATCGAGGTAAACGGTGTTAGTAATTTTCATTTTCAAGGAGTCCAAAATCCACGATATCTAGGCTATAATGGTAACAAAAATACAGAAAATTGTAGAAACTGCAGCCAGAACATTTTAAGATTTTGAACATTTAAATGAATTTACTGAAAGATGAGTTTATTGAAATCATTTGTTCCGTAGCTAGGCTAACTCCTTGGGGTAAGATATGGGCAGATATGATGCTTACAGGATGACGGTTGATTTTGTCTACTCTCACATTTTGAATGCCTTTTTTTCCCCTTCCATTAGAGCTCATGACACTTCTGGTAGGTTTTGACCTCACTCTAAGTGTTCTATGTTCAAAACTGCTCCCTGAAGAGAAGAAACACATGTCACAGCATTCAGTGGATTTTACCAGAAGCTCACACTGGGGAACATCATTATGTCTACTGCTAGACCTGCTTGAGGTGCTGACTTCTTCTAGTTTGGTATGTGGAGCTGGTGTCCGTTTGAAGAGTCAGAGAGTAACCCACCTTCACTCGTTGGCCCTCCTAAACATCTGCTGCTCCTCAGAGTATTATGTTAAAAAGAGAGTGCTGCTTCTTCTAAAGAGAGCAATCCTCCAGAAGGTTGGAGAGGACTGGATTTCAGGCGATGTGGCGTCAGGGAGGACGTGTGGAAACTGGAGCTCTGATATGAGCATTCTAGCTCGGACTGTGTTAAAAGCAGCTTCTGACAATTGGTTACTGAGTATTCAAATGCAGTCTGGCGCTTTCTTTGGAGGAACCAGGCACATTCTGGGAGATCAGATTCAGAACTGGGATTGCATGATGCTGAGAGCTGTCAGCCTCATTATTCTCAAGTCCATAGAGCTTTGCATCCAAACAGCTGCAGGATCAGGTGAGAATTAAAAAGAAATACCAGCGTGGTTGATGATCTATCATTTTTGCATGAGTACAATTAAAGATGTTGCTGAACTTTAAACCAATTAAATTAAAAACAAATCATTTGAAGCTCTTCTTTTTGATAACTGTGATAGTACTGGTTTTTTTTCCTCACCCAGAAATCTCAGCAGCACATTCAGTGGAAAAACAATGAAAGAGATGCTGAATGTTTTCACTCAGTGTCTGTTCTCTCCCCTGACCAGTCAAATCAAAGACAAAAATCTGGATGACAAATGCTTTGAAAATGACATTTGATATTTCAAATGTTGTGTAGCCAATGATTGTAAATCTAAAGTTATTAAGAAATGATCAGTCAAAAGAGGGTTTTCAGGAAAAACTGTTAAATGTTCAGTTTCTATGCCATATGTCAGAACAAGCTCCAGAGTGTGATTGAAGTGGTGGGTGGGTCCTTTTACATTTGGAGAGAAGCCGTTTAATAACAGATTAAATGCAGAGTTGAAGCTGCATCTATGTTTAAGTCACCCACAGTAATTATTTTATCTGAACTGAGTGTGATAAATTAGAGAGAAGCTCGAAGTGCCAGGTGGACAATAGATATCAATAAATAAAATGTTTTTTGTCCTGGCTCTCTGCCATCACCCACACCTGGTTATGTGGCAGATGGCTGCTCCTCCCTGGCGGAGTTTCTGACGGTGGTTTCGTCCTTTATGTCCTCCAATGGGCAGGGATAGTTCAGTAGGTAGAGTAGTGGCCCCATGATCGGAAGGTCGGGGGTTCGACTCCACTGAACGGCTACCCTGAGGTACCCCTGAGCAAGGTACCGTCCCTACACACTGCTCCTCGGGCGCTGCACTGGTGGCTGCCCACTGCTTCACTGGGTGAATGGGTTAAATGCAGAGGAACTATTTCCCCATGGGGGACTAACACGCACACTTTACTTTACACTTTACTTTTACTTTTTTTTTTTTTTTGAAAAGAGTTTCGTTTTTCCATTCCACTGTCGCCAAATGTTTACTCAAAGGAGGTTGTTTGATTGCTGCAGTTTTCTTTGTATTATTGTCGGGTCTTTACCTTTAATCGCTTTCTCTAAACAGGCCAGGTTTCACCCAGAAAGTTTACCAATGATCTTAAAAGCCTTTATATGCTTTCTGCTGTGGCTTAGGCGTATGATTATCTTCTTAACACAGAAGTGAAGACTGCAACAGAGGTTCATGCATACCTGCAGAGTCTGTGGGGCTTCCTGAGAAAGTACAGTTTCAAACAGAGAGAGGTCACTCATCTCTGCTGCTGGATCAGCATGCTGTTTGGAGAACAGGATGATGACATGATGGAGGCAGCTAAAGCTCTGCTCTACATATTTCTTCATTACAGGTAAAACAGATACCAGATTTGGGTATGATATAAAAACTATAATGGTAAAGAGGTCCTGATGTTAGTTTACCATCTTTAAAGATACTTAAAGATAACTTCTACACATGTAAAAGTATTCAGATTTAAAATATACATGTGTGTGTTTCTGTCACTGTTTACTGATACTTCACTGTCTTTCACTTTACCAGA